CCTGCTGTTTCTGCTGCTCTTGCTGCTGATTCATACCATTCCCCCCTCTAAGACCCCCTCGGACGCCTGATGCGACATCATCCCCCCCTGGTGCTGCATCGAAGGCCGGAGCAGGGCCAGGTACTGTGATGGAGATATCCTCGTGATAATCCACGTGTGAGTCATTCACGCTATGTGTCATGAGGTAAGCGAGGTGCAGCATAAGGAAGCGTTGGTGTGAGTCGCCCACGAAGTTGATTTCCCTTATGCCACGTGATGCCAAGGCAGAGACCCAGTGGGACGGCGGAGAAAGAGGAGGCGCGCACGGGAAGAACTCCCACCTGAGGTGCGTGAGGTGGAGGTAGGAGGGGAGTTAAGGAATCTATTTTTGAGGAACCTCAAAGTTGATCTCCCTGATGCCACGTGATGCCAAGGCGGAGACTCAGAGGGACGGCGGCGGAAGGGGAGGGGCGCAAGGGACGAACTCCCACCTGAGGTGCGTGAGGTGCAGGTACAAGGGGAGTGAAAAAATAGCATGTGGTTTTGTACTTGACTCAAAATTGGGTAATGCATTGGCACTCTGAACCTAAGGCTATCAAAGACATCGGTGGAGTCGCCTACATTGTCTGCACTATCAGTTTCACCTGTACTTTCCGGTGCTACCATCCAGCAGCCAGCGGCCGTGAGAGGCGCCATGGTCACAGGCTGAACCCAACGCTCCACCACCCACTGCTTCCCCCATTGCTCCCTCGGAAAGTGACAGGGAAGGTTCCTGCGGAACCCGGGGTGCTGGAAGTAAGGTCACGGGCTTGCCACTGGGACGGACGACGAGGGTCCATTGCGCCATATCGTGTTCATGCGCGTGGGCGAAGGAAGCGGAATAGTTCAAGGAGCCGCATCCGGACCGAACAAACACTCTGTTGTGAAGGGGAAAGAAGGGAAGGGCCAGGAAAAGAAGTGTGGTCACGGGCTTGCTGCTGGGACGGACGGCTAGCGTCCATTGCGCCATGTCGTGCTCATGCGCGTGGGCGAAGGAAGCGGAATAGGTTAAAGAGCCGCATCCGGACCGAACAAACACTCGGTTGTAAAGAGAAGGAAAGGAAAGGAAAAGGTGAAAAAAGGTGCGTTAATAGTCACGTGATCGGCCTATTCACGTTATTTGACTGGTCCTTCTGTTATAGGCCGGAGGAGCTCACTCACTCGTATAACCCAGCGTCCCATACGCGGTATGCCACTCGCCATCTGCTGACGTCGCCTCTCTCAGCCGTGACGTCAGCTCGCACGAGCGACGGTCCCTCCAGCTGCACCGCCAGCTCGTGCTTGAACGCCATGCCCGGCGGTATCGTCCATGTCGCAGGGCGTCGCACGGCGATTTCGAACGTGCACAGTCGCCCGGCGACGCAATGGCGACATCCTGGTCCGAAAAACACCACGCCGCTGCGGCCTCGGTTCTCGTCGCGAACAAGCTGGCTATTTGAACTACTACGAACGGTACCACTGGCCTCGGATGTGAGAAGTTCCGCATTATCCTCGGGACTACGGATCTGGTCCGACCAAGAAGATTCCTTCCCGCCATAGCCACCGTGATCACCGGACCACCAGCATACAACATCGCCATGATACGACTGCGACGAATCTACCCGCGATTCCTCGAATCGGTCGTCTAAATAACCAGCATTGCTTTCCTTTGGTGTTGTACCATTAGAGAATCTCATGAGATTGGAGACCGACACACTAAGGACCCGACAATGGCGTGACCATATAAGAAGCGCGAGGAACGCGACTGCCGGTAGAAGTAACTGGACTGCCGCGCGACGCGACAAATGAGATTCGTTTATACCTTTTCTGTGGTTTCCCATGGTGGACAAGGACTCTTAAAAGTAGTGTGTGTAGATAACAGCATGATCTCGGCGTTTCGATTATACCGGAGACGTGTGGCCTGCTAATTTTGACGAGCTATCTATCAGGTTGTGAGCTACGTCTGCGGAGCAAGCTAATCTCGATGGAAACGAAATTCCGAATTTCTCGAACTTCAAGTTGGCCCCTCGAGCTCATCCCCCGCCGTCGCCAGCACATCAAGGTGTGCAGTACAGCTTCGCATCTGCACTCTCGGATGCGCCCAATCAACGGCTTCTGATCATCTATGTGTCAGAGGCAAGACAGGCTTGCTTTCCTTGCGAGGCGCACTAAAACTTGGGATGGACCGTGTTCGTTATGAATATTCATCCTAAACGGTGTAACTCCTCACATGCTTTTCAAAAACTACTAGGCATGTATGACTTGTGCTCTGGTGGATGTGTTGTTCAGCGCATCATGATAGCAGCGAGTACAATGACGGTGGCGCTTGTGACGGTGAACAACAGGTTCCGCAATTCAGTGGTGGAGGTCAGGCACACCACCTTTTCTCGAGGTGGACGGTGTGGAACTTGTGGTACGGTGGCACACCTGCGCCTCTAGGTTTGGCATGCACGTGGTTCGATACCTTGCGCGATAGTTCCTCCTCACCAAGCCTGTTTCGGCCTGGCCTTACCACATGGGTGACTGACCCCAAACCAATCACCTCACACCCTCATCCCAGTCGAGTCGTCGGCTCGGAACGTGGGGTGCACCGAAAGCTCCTTTCACGAGGCGCCACGTTCACGTTGACCGAAGACCACGACAGAATCATGGACCGCGGTGCGATGAGCCCTTTGTCTGTTTCGGACGAAACGGAGAGAACACGCTATGGGCCGAACCACAACTTAACCAATCAAATGCATTTCAGACAGCCAGACCTGTGTTCTCGCTGGCCGCTTCCTTCCTCCCCATCCACCTCAGTTTTCCCTTCCACCATGTCTCACGCTTCAACTTTCACCTCTCGTCGCCCTCACCACCACCGAAGAAGCAGCGATAAAGGCCGCCGCCATTCTTGTCTGCCTCTGTATCTCACCCACTCATTTCTCCAAAGTTTTCCTGCTTGCACGATATTTTTGGCGCAGTCTCGTTCCTCAACCGTGTAACTTCCTATCTCCGGCTATAATCCCGAGAGGAGGCCATACTACTTTCCTGGCTTTATAATTTCCAGCTTAGCTCGTTTTCGCTCTCTCGAGATTCCAGACGCACGCAATCAGCCCGTCGCCATGTCGTTGACAGACTTGTGTAGCTTCCTCGACGTACCTCCTCCTTACTTCGCTCCCGTACTGCACAATCCCGTCCCGACCATTGGCCGCAAACCCCGCCCGCCAGTGCTGCAAATCCCCGAAATCAGTCCCCCGTCCCTCCCCCCCCCGCCGCACCCTCTTTTCCACCAACCCCGCGCGCCACTCCCCGTCCAGCCCGCCGCTCCCCCTGCCGGCCAGCCCCGCCGGCAGCGACAGCCGAAGATTTGGGATCTGCTTCCGACGCCGAAAGCGCAGGAAGAGAGTGGCAGTAGTTTCCGCTCGGGTCAACGCCTCTCCCAGGTGACGCCTGGCTTTCTGCACCGCCCTAGCGACCGCTCCGTCAAGTGTTACGCGCTGCACGTGCGAAACCAATCACTGTGTGGTAACCAGACGGGGTTTCGCGACAGTTCTGCTCTCAAGGAGACTGCGAATCGCCCGAACGACAGCTCGACGAAGCCTTGGAATGAGGTTACCAGTCCAAGACAAGGCGTTCACGCCATTGGCGTGCCAAAGGTTCTGGGGAACCTTCCAGCTAAATTCTGCGAAGCTGAGTCAACCGAGGTCAATGCTCTTCAAGATGCAACAGGAAATGGACATTTCTGGAAGAATGACGAGCATAAGAAGCCAGGAGGATTGTCCGTCTCGGCTCGAATTACCAGCCGCGGGGTAGTTTGTAACGAGGCAGCAGACCGTAGTAATACAGCTCCCTATAGCGAAGCATCGCATAACGAGCCAGAGGCCCGCAGGTGGGCTGTGACTCCCCAGGCTCCCGAAATCGCGTCTCGAGCGGCGGGAATCGCGCTACAGGGGCGATTCGTGCACCCGTCTAAGGCGCGCGATCTCCAGCAGGGGCGAACGTTGCCGGAGAAAATGCAGCAGAGGAGGAGGCAGAATAGGGCGTACAGGGAAGCACCTATCTGTGCTGCCGACCTGAACGAACTCCTGACGGCCGTTCTTGGTATTTTCTCCGATGCTTCCTCTGATAAGCCCTCTACGCCGTCATGGTTCTGGCGGTTAATTTCAGAGGAGGAAGAGGAAGAAGAGGGGGGGGCGGAAGAGGGTGAGGGTGGGAACGCGGGGCAGCAGGGGAAGGCTGGGTCGGGACGGTTTGGGAGCCCTGCAGGTGTTTTGGAGTACATTGGCTTCGATGATGACGATGAGGAGGAGGAGGATTGAGAATATGGGGGGGTTGGAAGGGTTGGGAGGAGGAATAGGAGGAGGAGGACAACGCATCAGAATAATAAAGCCAGCAATGGTGACACGTTTGTGAGACCGTGCCAATAATTGATGGCAACTGCTCGGTCCAAATGGTCTGCATTCAGTGTGGCGTATCTAGCAGCTGTGAGTGGCCCTAGCCAGCCAGACCAGTAGCCTGGGCTTGGACCTTGTTGACGGGCTTTTAGTCAGGAGGTTCTGGATAGTAGGGAACGAGGGTTTGATTAGGGAATGAGGGTAAGGCATACCTTGTGTTGATATGCCTACCCTCATCCCCTAATCAGGACCCCATGTTTTGAGTTGTTATTGTGTTGCTGTGCTTGCCTGAAATGCATGCTTGTGAATGTCTCATGAAACTTCCGCTACGTTCCACAACCCACAATAGTTCTGGTCCAGCATGCACTTCACAGCATCTGCAACACCATACCGAATGCATAATATTTGCAACTCTCGATAGCATCAGCCTGTACAGTTACTGTATGGTATTCAAGAAAGTACCCACTGACTGTTTCCAAAGCCTATCCTACAATAGTTATCAAGTAGTTACCCCACAATCGTTAACAAGGAGTTACCTACAGTTGACTGGATAAGTGAGTTAGTACCCAAGTGAGAGTGTGGGATGGGCGAGAGTTACACCAAGAGTCATCAATTTTAAGAAGTCCCAACTCAATACCTGAGGGAGAGTGTGGGCTGGCTCCATAGAAGCTCAGGGCGAGAGTCACAGCTTGAGTCATCAGAAGGAACAGGTGAGTCCAGAATGGATGCAGGGCTGTGGCCAGTCCCCTTGCGACACGTGTCCAGGTCGCTCGACTGGCCTGATAGAGTGGATCGGAGACGCAGGTACGGTCGGCCTGGTTCAGTGCGGTTCTTCGCAGTGGTGCCTTGAACAGGAGGCGTAGCAGATAACACCTCCCCCAGATGGAAGGAGGACGCGATGGGGAGAGGCTGCAGGGAACCCATATTGAAGGGAGGAGATGCGAGATTTCCCAGATTTACGGTAGTAGTGCCACACGTGGCAGCAGCACCAGGGCCACCGGTATTGAAGCCACTCACGTTAAAGCCACTGAATTCATGGTAGCGCACGTCTGGGGAAAGCATGGGAGGATCAGCCAGTAGGCGAGCTTGCATGGCGGCAGCGTTGACCAATCCCTCCCCACGGCTTCCCCCGATCATTAGTGCTGCTGCAGGCCCCACGGCTTGCTCACGACCATGGGTATGTGACAGTTCAATGATGCTGCTTCCTGCCTGATTTCCGCTCCACTCCTCCCCCTGTTCCTGCCTGTTACGTCTGCCAGGTACAACCTCCCCCAGGAACGCAGTAGACACCTCCCCCAGAAAATACAGCTGACTCAGTACTGTTAGCCAGAGAGATGCCACGTGGGTCTGGATGGCTTCGCCGCTGATGGGGAGACACGTGGCGCGATGGGATTTGCTGCGTGGATTTGCTTCAATCTCCGTGCATTCATCGTCGGTTCGCTCGCGCTCGGTGGGGACGGAGTGCATCCGCGTTATAGAGCTCCTGTTGCTTTGTACAGCAAGCTCCCCTGTTAGCGGAGCATGGCTCACCATTGGAAGGGTACGCTGCACGGTTGGGGGAAGGGGAAGCGGAGCAACAGCAGCAGTTGATGCGCGCACAGACACTCCGCGGATTGCATTCCGCGCGTTCCCGATCCCCCAATCCCGCCGCCGGTACCACCCAGGCGCAGGAAGCTTCCGCCAGTCTCCCCCCACGAGCGCAGCCCCCGTCGATTCCGCTAGCCCTCTGCTGCCCTGTGCCTGCGCCAGCTCCGCCGTACCGCCCCACGGTTCCACCACGCTTCGGGAAGCGCGGGGCGTTTCGAGAGGCACGTCCGCGGGAGTAGAGGTGAAGGCGCACGGGGGCGGCGGAAACCCATCGGACCGCGCGCGGAAGAGCGCAGGCTCGTCAATGGGCAAAGCATGCGGGACTGAAGGCTGCTGCTGGCGGGGAGGCTCTGCGGGGATAACTGGATCAGCGGAGGAACCTGCGGGGTATGCGGGGGCCATTTTCCCAGCGGGTCGAGACTCAGGGTCACTGCAGCTAGGTTCCGCTAACACGTTGATTCGCCGCGAGTGGTGCGCCACCTGTTCCGCTTGCTGCGCAAGTTGCGCGGATCGCCGCACGGGGAAGCCGATCGACGGCCATCGCCTCGGCCGACTGAGCCAGTCACAGCGAGCGCAATGGGCGGTACCGCACAGCCCGCCGCCATTCGGGGAGCACAAGGCGCTTCGCCCGGTCGCGCCGCCCCCGCACGCGCCGTCACTAGGAGGCGCCTCGGGCAGTCCTGCGTCCGGTTGGGAGGCGGGCGGAAGCTCCGGCGGAAGATTGCGGAGTTGCTGCGCGAACTCGCGCTCAAGCGCGCGGTCATGGCGCAGATGAGGGGCCGGCGGGAGCTCGGGTTGCAGATCCCAGATCTTGAGCTGACGCGCGCGCCTGCGCGGACCCCCCTGGCGCGCATGCGGCTCCCCCTGCAGCTGCTGAGCGCGCGCCTGTATTTGGTCGGGGCGCCGGTGAGGGGCCGGCGGAAGCGGAAGAGGGGAGGCTGGCGGAGGGAGGACTGCGGGAATTACCAGTACGGCTGGTCGCGGCTTGCGGCCGATAGGGGGCGCGGAGTTGTGCTCATGCTGTGTGTGTTCGAGGCTTGGAATCAGAACGGGCGCATTTTGGGGCTGGCTGGATCGAAGCTTGTCCTCCTGCTGCTGTTCGTATTGGGAAACTACGGCAATCTGTTCCACGACGGAGCTCCAGGATGGGGCCATGATGATGGGAACCATGGATCGACAATAAGGATTGAAAAATGAACCCTGGAGAACTGGTACTAAATGTGCTGCTCTGCAGGAGTGAAGGGCGCTGGGCAAATGGAATGGTTGGGAAGGAATTTCTGTTTGTGCGGGGAGTGTTCATCAAATGAGCTGGTGAGGGGGAGAGTGTGGGAGGGAGCGTGCTGTAAATCTTGATTGACATGGGACCTGCATTCACGGAGGCGGTGCGATCACTTTTGCCTCGGGTTTGGGGTGAATTTGCGGCTCGGAATGGTTCGGAGATATGCGATTCGGGGTGACGCTAGCGGTTTTGCTCTTGTATGCCCGTCGTTCTGCTTTGTCAACAAACCGCTGCTCCGAGCTTCACGGCGCCTCTTGACTGACCCTAGTGGAGAACCGGTTTGGCGAAGGAAGGCTGGTTTGCAAGGGCCACACTGATGGCTCGGGCTAAGCCAGGCCTGGTTTGGCACCCCTCGAAGCTGGGCAGCTTTTTTGGAGGAAGTGTCACTTGGCTAGCCCAAGATGCTGGGCGCGTGCTCCAGCGAGGAATATTGAGGACACGTGGTGTGTCAAGAGAGGTGTTTATTGCGATGACCAAAAACCAGATCACCCTCCCCTTATAACGGGCCGAACCAACAAGCTTCGGACGAGGTACGGACCGTATCTACAGAGTCTTTTCCTGCGAACTCGTGGCTGATTTCCTTACCTCTTTTTTTTTAGAGTCCCACTATTCGATACAAAATCGATATGATATTGTTACGGTGTTCTCGTGTCTAAACATTAAGATTTCAAGCACCTAAGAACTACAGGGAGAGTTCCACTGTAAAATCAATTTCGTATGTATTCAGGAAAATTGAGGTACACATGGCAAAACGAGCAGCACCGTTTCAAGTGTCAGGGCTAAGCTCCGATGAGGTATCGGACACGGGGTTTTGGAGGACCGACGAAGGACTGCTATCCTGCAGCAGCCCTACACCCTTGCCAGTTAGAGTGGCTATGCTGGTGACAGTGGGTCTTATAGCAGATGCAGGAAGATTTCCAGCACTGCTTGTTAGTGTAAGGGGCATGGGTGATTGAGGTGCGATGAGCGAAGCAACGTCTCCAACCACCAATGCAACATCTGCAGCAGCAGAGAGCAATGAGCCCCAGAGAGAGGCGTAGTCCACTGAGCATGTGCACGAGTCTCGGTGCTGCCTGGCCCGTGCGGTATCCAACGAAGTTGCAGCAACGGAGAGTGTGTAATCCTGCACAGAGTAATGGGGCAAATGAGAGCGAGGAACAAGTTGAGTTGAGTTCAGTATGAGGTGAATTTCGCAAAGCAATGTCCCCAGACGAACTCTCGCACTCAACCGCGTCCCTTTTCCCCACCAGACTTCCCAACCACTACTCCCTGTACCCTCCCCCCGCCCCCTCACTCCCTCCCTCCCTCCCACCCTCCCACCCTCCCCCCCTCTTCATTCCCCTCTCATGACATCCTGCCGTCCACGGACACGCACGCGAGACAGAGAGAAAGGCACACATGAACGCACCTTAACGGGAACGCTGGAAGCAGCGGCGGCCGCCCCGGATGCCTCTCGCGATGCGATTTGCGCCTCGGCTGACGACGCTGTCGACCCTCACGCGACTGCGACACCAGAGGAACCCGAGTCTGCGAGACCTGGGCGGATTTTGATTCGGCGGGGTTCCGAAGCTGCCGCGTGTCCCGCTTTTCCCGCGCATTCGCGCCCTCGCTGAAATTCACTCGAATCTGCGGTATTTCCCCCGGCCTTTCCCCCCTCCGCGCTGTTCCTACCCCGCGCGCAGCGGTTTTGGCGGAGCCCCACGTCGACAGATCTATAACGCCGCCAACGCCCGCTGTCGGGAAACCGATTGACACCTGCCGGCTAGGATTCCGCGGGGCCGGTTGCCAAAACGGCGGCGCAAACGGCTGGCCGTGAGGATGTGCGAGCGGGGCGGAAGCGGCGTACCCACTGGAGGGTTGGGGGACCTTGTAGGGGCGCGGAGCAGGGGGGAGCTCGGGAATGAGGTCCCAGAGCTTTGGCTGCCGCGGCGGGCGCTGACGCGGCTTCCGCGCCTGCGCAGGGCGCGGAGCTGGAGGTGGCGCAAGAGACGGCGCAAGAGACGGCGGAAGCGACGAGACGGCGGGCTCGGCGATGGGCGCGATTGGATGGCTGGAGAAGAAAACTGGCGGCTGATTGAGCCACAGCGGTTCGGTGCGGATTTTGGGGAGCGGTGCGGAGGGGCGCGGGAGTTGGGAGGCGTGGGGGCGCGGGGTGGGCGGAGGGTTGACGGGTTCGGGGATGAGAAGCGCGCTGGGGCGAGGTTTTCTGCCGAGCTGCGGGTGCGGGTTGGGCTCGGAGTGAACGCGGAATTCCCAGAACGGAGCCATGGCGGCCAGCCACTCCGCGTTGCGATCAGGGTGGTTCTAACGGATTTGTAGGGTATGGTGGACTGGACACTCTCTACCTGAAACTTTACGTGCAGGAAAAAAGAAGTGTCGTGCGCGTGTGCCACCTTGTATACTAGTTGTGGCTGGTGAAAATGAGGTAGGTGTTGCTGGCTTGAGTTGGGAGGAGAGGAGACCAGTAATTGTGCGGTTACTGCTGTGCTGTTGTTGAAGGGCAAGACTGCTTTGCCCCTTTTCCCCCTCTCGTGCCCCTGTGAAGGTGGGCGGAAAGGCAGATCTGCTCGACGGGTGGACTGTAGAAAGACCGTGTTGCGGTGGGGAGTGGAGGGGTAGTGGCGGAGAGCCCGAGGCATCTTGAACCACCCAACGTGGAGACGTTCGACTGCGATGCGAATCGTCAACGAGGCGCAAGCTCTACAGTGACAAGCGACGCGGGCATTTAAAGCCGCCGTGGAGATATCTTAGGAACAGTGACAAACAGTTTTTTGTCTTGTTCCTTCCTGGTCGCCAATTGGCTAGCGAGAGAGTAGATTGTGTTGCGATGAAGAGAAAAAGGAAACAACTGAGGCGAACCTCGCGAACCTCGAAAGTGAGGGGGAAGGGGAAGGGGTGGGGGGAGGGAAGGGGGGAACACACACGACAACGCGAAAATCGGAACCCATGAATACGCCGTCATCTCTACATTGCATAGAGTATGTATCTCAAATAATCTGAGAACCACACAAATATCATATTCTGCAAATCAAAGGCACATTCGAGGATCTCAGAAAGATCAAAGTTTGGGGTGGTTGTTTCCTTTTTTTATTTTGGGGTGCAACGAATGTACACATGGCAGGCAAACATGAGTGTATTTAAATCCTACATGGCATCTCCAAGATGAGCCAAACTTCACACCCCTCTGATCCATTATTGATGCAGCTGTCCACCGATAGCAGGGGGGGAGGGGGGTTAGGGAAGGACACCAGCCGTAGAATTGAAAAATGTTCGATGGGGAAATTGAATGGAGGGTTGGCAGAAACAGTGGGGTGCGCGAAGGTTCAAAGTGGTGGGGTGGGTGAAGGGAAGCAGCGGGGTGGGTGAAGGGAAGCAGCGGAGTTGGGAGCGGTGGAGCAGAGGGTTGGATGTCGTCACGTCTGCCACCGTCGCCACTTGACATCACTGCACACCGCCATCATTGCATCAGCTCGCTGCTGCTGCTCATAGTTACCGCGCTTGCAGGATGGGAACTGAGGTATGATGGGCTCGGGACAGTGGCAAAGCGAAACTATTGGCTGAGGGGACATAGTGGAAAGGGAAGGGTCGGATGTGGGGAATGGGGAGGGACAGGAGAGGGGGAAAGGGATGGCCGGGAGAGGGGTGAATGGTGGGATGGGATAGGGGGGAAGGGAAGGGATGGGAGAAAGGGAAAGGAAGGGTTTAGGAATCTGGGGATGCCTTGAAAGGACAAGGGTAGGGTAAAGGGTGGATGGTGGGGGAAGGAGGGACGGACACCGATGGAAGGAGGGACGGGGACGGGGGGAAGGTTTGAACGGTAACGGGAGAAAGGAGGGACGGCGGGAGTGGGGGAGAGGAGGATTGGTGGTGGAGAGACGGTGGGATCGAGCCGCTTGCTACCGTCGCTCCCAATTCTGCCTCCTGGGAAGGGCAAGAGGCCAAGGTATCGACGGACAAGGGGAGTTCGGGAATGGGGAGGCGTGAAACCGAAGGTGTGGCATAGGAGGATGTGCCATGGGGGATGGTGGCAGGGGGGAATGCCCTGGAACAAACAATCTCTCACGCTTGAACTAGGACAGGAATGGGATAGGACAGGGGGAAGGAGAAAGCGACAGGGGGAATGGGATAGGACAGGGAAGGGACAGGAGAAGAGGGAAAGGGATGGCCATCAGAAGGGTGAATGGTGGGATGGGATAGTGGGAACGGGAAGGGATGTGAGAGAAGAAAAGGAAGGGTTCAGGAAAGGGGGAAATGAGCAGGAAAAGCAGCGACGGTAGTGGGGGAAAAAGGACGAATGGGGGCAAGGGGACGGGTGAGAGCAGGGGGGAGCAGTGGGTTGGGAAGGGGAAAGGAGGGAGGGAGAAGAAGGGGAGGGAAGGATAGGGAGACAGGACAGAAAGAACAGGGGGGAGGATTAAGCATCAGGAGGAACGAAAACGATGAAAGGGAGGGAAGGACTAAGGGGAAAGTGAGAGAATGACAGGGGGAAAGGGTGGGAAGGACATGGAGGAAAGGAGGGAAGGACAGGGGGGAAGGGATAGAAGGAGTGGGGGAAAGGGAAAGAAGGACAGGGGCCTATAGCATCGATCGCTGCTCTTCCCACCCTTTCCCCCTGTCCTCCTCTCCCATTCCGGCCCTGTCTGCTCGCTACCCTTGCCTTCGCCGCATCGCTACCAATATCGCTCGCTAAAGCCGCTTGCGAGGTTTGGACGCGAGATGCTTCGCCACCGTCGGAACAGATGCTTCGCCCCGCTGTTCGCTAACGACACCCTGCTGCACGCTAACGTCGCCCCGCTGCTCGCTACTGTCGTTATCGCTGCTCACTATCGTCATTGCGCCATCGCAACCCTGCTCGCTGCCATCGCAACCCTGCTCGCTGCCATCGCAACCCTGCTCGCTACCGTCGCCGCTCTGCTCGCTATCGTCGGCCCGCTGCTGGCTACCGTCGCACCCAATCCTGCCTGTCGCCATCGTCGCTGCTTGCCACCGCCGATTCGTGAGAAATAGAGGGACGGGAGAGGGAAAACTGAACGACGACAGCGGAGGAAATCTAGCGCAATGCGCTACGGGTACGACTGCCGTGGTGTTTTTTGAGGTACGAAATAGCGCAGATATTCGAGCGCACACTAAGAGGCGAAGAATAGAGATAGATCTGAGGCGAATGGCTCTCAGTAGCCCTACGGGAAGGCACTTCAAGTTAGTAGTAACCTAGCCTAGCGCGAGAGATTGCCGAGTTTGAGTAGTTTTGAGTTCAAGTTTCAAGTTTCAAGTTTGATGCCTGGCCCCCCCTTCATGCTGTTGTGCGGTGCTTTTCCGCAAGCCCTCCCCAACTTCCCCCCCACTCATCATGCTGCGAGGCACTTTTCCGCACGACCTTCCCCCGATCTCAGAAAGCTCGGCCTGCTCGACTTCCAGTGTATACTGGGTAACGCGCCCTTCGAGCTATAATACTTTGAACTGGCGCAGCGATATCTGCACCGCGGCTTTAACCCACGCTGCCGAACTGCCTGCCTCTTGCTTGACGGTGCTCTCTATGGTAACCAGTCGTAGCGATATTTGGTAAACGACAGATACATCGGGTTGCAGCCGACTTCGCTAGGCTGCGGCGGTGCAAGCCAACAGCCAGCACATTCGCTATTCGCTAGGGTGGGTGGGTGACATCAGGAGTTGGTCGGGTACGGCTTGCTGTAGCACTGTAGCACATCTGATCTGGTGAACCAGCAGGTTGTTCCACTGGTTGGTTGATCGAAACGGAGAACGATCGTGCTGCGAGGTTGTTCTGACAGGGACAAAACTCAGGCTTTGCGTCGATAAGATGACTCGATATACTGTTCGCGTAAACTTAACTAACAGAGTTACAACAAAGTAGAAGTATCCACAAAATTCGCCATACGCGAGATTTTTTTTTTTTTTTTTTTTTTATGCAATGATACACAATAAAGGGTATACAAAGCATTTGGCAGTCGTAACTGTGTTCATTAGGGAAGTGCTACAGTACCGAGAACTGCAGATTCCCTGTGATATGCCTACGGTGGCTGGTGAGTCAGCTTCGGGTTGTTCCAGACAGCGCTGAAGCTGCCATTCCACGTTAAAGCCGCGGTGCAACTATCTTAGGAACAGTGACAAGCCGGGTTTTGTCTTGTTCCGTACTGGTAGTCAATTGGCTAGCGAGTGTGTAAGTTGTGTTGCGATGAAAACATCCAAGGCGAATGTCGCGAACCTCGAAAGGAAAAGTGGGGGGGAAGGGGTGGGGGGAAGGGAAGGGGGGAACACACACGAAACGGGAAATGGGACCACATCAACACCCCCATACTCCCTTTCGCTGATTGTTCTGCCAATAACACCTCCACATAGCAAAACGATAAACCTTATGTTTCATAAAAGCTTTGCAAAATACATATTTCACTTACAAGGTTTATTTTGGTTTATTTATCCATCCATTTGCAAGAGTATTATTTATAATGGGGAGAAAGAACATCAAATGTACAGACCTGCAAGACTTGGAATGTCATATTGAAATCCTTATCATGCAAAGGATCGCAAGCAAACAACATGTCATAATCCAAGGAGAGCCGATTTTTACACTACGATCCACTATTGGTGCAGCTGTCCATTTACAGGGAGGAGGGGGGAGGGGAAAAGGGGAAGGAAACGTTGCGCATTATTGAAGAATGTTAGGTAGGGAAATTGAAGAGAGCATGGAAACTGAGATATGATAGACAGCCTTCAGTGGCCAAGCAAAGCTGGTACTGTCGGCTGGGCTGGACGAGAGAACGTAGTGGAAAGGGAAGGGACGGTAGTGGGGGAAGGCGAGGGGCAGGGAGAGGAATAAGGACGGCAACGGAGGAAAACGAGCGCAATGCGCTTCGAATACGACAAAAAGGTGTTTACGAGGTACGAAATTGCGCAGATATTCGTGAGCACATCAATAGACCATGAAACGCGAGAAATCTTAGCGGAAATGGCTCTGCGTAGCTCGGAAAACGCACTTCAAGTTAGTAAGAACCTAGTTCAAGCGTGAAAGTTTGCCAAGTTTGAGTTGTTTTGAGTTCAAGTTTGAATTTTCAAGTTTGCTGCATGCGCTCCCCCTCAACTCGTTGAGCGGAGCTTTTCCCCGAGCCCTCCCCCGTTTCCCCCCCACACACATCATACTGCGAAGGACTTTTCCGCACGCCCTTCCCCCGCTGGCAGAAACCTCCCCCTGCTCGCTTTCCTGTGTATACTGGGTTACGCGGCTTTCAAACTATAATAGTTTGAACTGGAGCCCGGATATCTGCACCGCGGCTTTAACGGTGACGCCTTGCTGCAGATTCTCCTCATCACTGCCGCCTCGGCAGCTTCCAAAAATGCCCACTCATCACTGCCATACGCGAGATGAGATGAGATCCACTTCTTGGGAGTGTAGTTGCTGACACAAGCAAGATCACGGAACGAAGCAAACCTCCCTGGTTTCTCCTACACTTCCTCGAAGTCTTTTCCTCAAAACCCTAATTTCGTACTGCCTTGGCTTTCATTTCTTGGCCTGCGGTCTCGTCCTTTCAAGGTTAGCATCCCTAGTTTTTTAGTAGCTGTAGCCCCTGGTTATCTCGTTCGTTTTCGTTCCGTGTTTCGCGATTCCATCGGCGTTAGAGTTCCTAGGGTTAACGTTTATTTCCAGGAGCCATGGCTCATCGGTTGTTACGAGACGAGGACGCGGATGGCTGGGAGCGCAGCGATTTTCCGATCATCTGCGAGACTTGCCTTGGAGCGAACCCTTACGTTCGCATGGTGAGGCTCATAGGAATTTCTCTCGTCGTCGAGTATCGTTTTTTGTTAAGTAGTCTTTATTTTATGGAGGTTGCCGCGGACACAGCGCCAGACGGGGTATTCATAGGAGGCAGCCGATCAGCGTCCTCTATTTTATGGAGGTTGACGTAGTCCGGAGCTTTGGAGAAGTAACTATCTTGCAATTCGTTCCCGATCAGCCTCCTCTGCTTTTTAGAGTCTCTTCTATACGCATCTCCTCGTTTCCTATCTGTTTCGTTCGCTCTCCTTCTTTTCTGCATTCAATTCGCTGCCTTGAACTCGCGGCTATTCCGGCGCGGGTTCTAATTCGTCGTCTTCCCGTGTGGTGCCTCGTCAGACCAAGGCGAGCTTCGACAAGGAGTGCAAGATCTGCACGCGCCCCTTCACCGTGTTTCGATGGCGGCCGGGCCGCGACGCGCGCTACAAGAAGACCGAGATCTGCCAGACGTGCTGCAAGCTCAAGAACGTCTGCCAGGTCAGCGCCGTACCCTTAATTCGATCTGATTTGATTTGATTTAATTGTACATTTACCTCGTCTGCCATGTCAGCTCTGTGGCGTTGAGCCGATCCGGAATTCACGCTTGTTCGTACTCGGTTCTGTGTTACGAACTATCGAGTCGGGCTTTGAATCTGGAGTACGGCCTACCAGTGCAGGTGCGGAAAACTTAGTCCATTCCTTCCTCCCACTCCCCTCCCCCTCATCCCCCTCTCCCCCCTTCCGTTCCCCCCATCAGGTGTGCATGTTGGATCTCGAGTACGGGGCTGCCGGTGCAGGTGCGCGACACGGCGCTGAACATCAACACCACGGACGCCATCCCGCATCCCCCACTCCCGCCCACCCTCTCTCTTCCCCCCCCATCGCCAGGTGTGCATGTTGGACCTGGAGTACGGGCTGCCAGTGCAGGTGCGCGACACGGCGCTCAACATCAACACCACGGACGCCATCCCGCAGAGCGACGTGAACCGCGAGTACTTCGCGGAGGAGCACGACAGGAAGGTGAGCGGCGCACGCACGGGCGCAAGATGAGAGGCGCACGCACGAGCGCAATGTAACCGCGAACCTGCTCGCCCGCTGCTGCTCCAGTTTCTGCTCTTGCCGCTGCCGCCGCTGCTACGGCCGCTGCTCTTTGAGCCCTCTCGTTGCCCTTTGGAACCCGTGGCTGTTCTTGCTCTTTACCCCCACCCCACCCCTCTCCCCCCCCCGCCCCCCTTTGTCCCTCCCCTCAAACCCTCCCACACCTTACTCTCTGCAACTCTCCCCCTGGCTCCTCGCGGTTCGATTTTTTTTTTCCCTCCTTACCCCCCCTCTCACTCCCCTTCCCCCCCCCCCCCCCCCCCGCCTCCCTCTCCTCCCCCTTCCCCCCCCCCCCCCCCCCCGCCTCCCTCCCCTCCCCCTTTCCCGTCCCCCGCCTCCCTCGCCTCCCACTTCCTCCCCCCTATCTTTCCCTGCTCTTCCAGGGTCGCGCAGGGTTGGATTACGAGTCATCCTTTGGCAAGGCCGCGCCGAACGACCTGCTTTTGAAGCTGCAGCGCACGACGCCCTACTACAAGCGCAACCGCGCGCACATCTGCTCGTTCTTCGTGCGCGGGGAGTGCACGCGCGGGGCGGAGTGCCCCTACCGCCACGAGATGCCCATCACGGGGGAGCTTGCGCACCAGAACTTCAAAGACCGTTATTATGGGTACGTGGGGGTTGTAGTGTGGTGTAGAGTGGTGGGGTATTGTGGTTCTGGAATGCATGAAGGGGCGGGGCGGAGTGCCCCCCTACCGCCATGAATTGCCCATCACGAGGGAACTGGCGCACCAAATCTTCAAGGATCGTTACTATTGGTACGTGGGGGATAGAGCTGGTGGAGGGGGGTGTTGTGGGGTGTAGTTTGGTGGGGCATTGTGTTTCTGGGTTGCAAAAGGATAGGGGCTGAGTGCGCGTGCGGGGCGGAGTGCCCCTACTGCCACTAGATGCCCATGCTTTCCTTCTCTCTCCCTGCCCACTTCCCCCTCCCCTTCCCTCCTGGTGCTCACAGCGTGAACGACCCAGTGGCGAAGAAATTGATGCGGCTGGCAGCAGAGGTGCCGTGGCTTGGTTGTTTGCCCATCATTCCCTCTCCTCTCCCTCCCCACGCCCCCCTCCTGTCGTTTCCCACTCACCGCGTGAACGACCCAGTGGCAAAGAAGATGATGCGGCTGGCAGCGGAGATGCCGCCACTGACTCACGTGCCCATGCTCCCCACCCCCCCTTTCCCCCCCCCCTCCCTCCGCCTCTCTCCCCTTGCCATTGCAGCGTGAACGATCCAGTGGCAAAGAAGATGATGCGGCTGGCAGCGGAGATGCCGTCACTGGAAGCACCAGAGGATACAACTATCAAGACGCTGTTTGTTGGTGGGGTTGACTCGCGCGTCACAGAGGCCGATCTCAAGTGAGTGGTGTGGTGCGGTGCGGTGGGGTGGTGCAGTGTGGTGTGGTGGGGTGGGGTGGTGTGGTGTGGTGTGGTGCGGTGTGGTGCGGTGCGGTGCGGCGGTGTGCATGTCACTTGTTAGCATTGGAGGACACGAGCATCAAGACGCTCTTTGTTGTTGGCGTCACTCCGCCCCTCGTCCCTCTCCCCAACCCCCCTCCCCTCTGGCAGGGACAAGTTTTATGCATACGGGGAGGTCGAGTCCATCCGTCTCATCACCCCGCGCAGCTGTGCCTTCATCACATTCTCCTCGCGCGAGGAGGCAGAGAAGTCTCCCTCATGCTCTCCTCTGCAACCCCCATTCCCGCCCCCTCTCCTGCCCCCCTCGTCTCTTCCCTCCTTGCCATGGCAGGGACAAGTTTTATGCATACGGAGAGGTCGAGTCCATCCGTCTCATCACCCCGCGCAGCTGTGCCTTCATCACCTTCTCCTCGCGCGAGGAGGCAGAGAAGGCCGCTGAGGGCCTGGCCAACAAGCTCATCATTAAAGGGATTCGGCTCAAGCTAGACTGGGGGCGGCCCAAAGCAGAGGCTTTGGAAGGAGGGGGAGACGGAGGAGGGAAGCGGTTGCTGGAAGGGGGGGAGAAGGGATCAGGGGGAGCGGGGGGAGCGGGTGAGGGGGATGGGGGAGGGGGAGGAGAGGGGGGAGACGGAGGGGGGTCTGGTGGTGCGGCTGGGGGGAGTGGTGCGGGAGAGGGTCCGGCTGGTGGCAGCTTCGGGTTGCTGCCTCGGGCTGCTGCAGGTTCGGCGGTAGGTCCGGCGACGTCTGCTTCTATGTATCCGTCCATGAACCCTGAGAGGATGGGGGCACGCACTCGCAACAGGGAAGGGGAAGGAGGAGGGGGAGGGGGAGGGGGAGGGGGAGGAGGGGGAGGAGGAGGGGGAGTGGTAGGGGGAGGTGGTGGTGCTGCTGCTGGCAGTGGTGATGCTTCTGCCGCTCCACCGTTCCAATACCCACCTCATGCCTACCCTCCTCCTGGCCATGCTCCCTATCCCACTGCCGCCCCTCCCCAGCTGTACCAGCCTGCACCAGGTATGCCTCCCCCAGGTGGCCCTTCTTTTCACCCAGGGGCCTATCAGCAGCAGCAAGGGGGGTACCCGGGATCATACCCTCCTCCTCCCATGGGTTACCAGCAGCAACAGTACTATCAGCAGCAGCCGCAGCAACAGCAGCAATATCAGCAACATCCATACATGCCCCCCCCCTCTCAGTATCCACCACAGCAGGGTCCCCCACAACAGTACCCAGGTGGCCCATCAGGTGCCCCACAACAGTACCCAGGTGGCCCACAACAGTATTCAGGTGCCCCACCAGGTGCTCAGCAACAGTACCCAGGTGGGCCTCCAGGTGGCCAGCAACAGTACCCAGGTTTCCCTTCAGGTTCACAGCAGCAGCAGTATTCCGGACCTCCACCCCAACCCTACCCTCCCCAACAGTATCCTGGGCCTGGGCCAGCAGGTCCGGGGCAATATGCCCCCCCAAGGCCTGGCACCGGACCTCAAGGCTAGTTTGAATATGACAGGGTTGGTTGCGATACGATCTGCGGCTGTGGCTTGTGAGAATGCTTGTAACTCGTAAGCCATGAGCGGGCGGAAAGGTGGTTGTAATGCTGATTCATTTTGCAGCTCTGGATAGATTTTGTAAGTGTGACAGACAGATGGACCGTGTAGCTCTTGAAATGCGAAATGCTCTCCCAGCAGTACCGTACATGAGCAGACAGGCACTGGCGAAATCGGCATGCAAGGCATGGGTAAAACATCTGTTTCAGGCAGCTTCTTGTGTCTGTGGTGGATCCAACTTATCAATTTTTTCACATCCCTCTGTACCTTGCAGTTTGTTACCGAAAAGGTCCCACACATGCACAGATACAGAGCAGAGCTGCTGTCTGGCTGCTATATAAAGCCACATAATGTACATGCAATGCAAGATCTCCACCTGTGCATCATATACACTACTTTAGCTAACCAACCCACACAACACAAGCCACTACCTTAAAACCAACCCACACAAGCCATTAAAAAGCTACCCAACCCACACAAGCCACTACCTTAGCTACCCAACCCACACAAGCCGTAAAAAAACATGTGCAAAGAAAGCACATGGCCATAAGCATAGCATCATGATACCAGGTGCGGTAACATCAGGAGCGAGGTTACACCATTAACAGGGCAAGGAGAGCAAGGCCAACAGAAGCAAGTATGTGAAGAATGGCAGCAGTGGTATTTCCTGCAGGAAATTGCAACATACGGTGAGGTAACGGAATCTGAGCGCATTGTATGGGAAAAGCAAACTGTGAGCATGTGAGCGTGTGAGATGCATGCTTATTCTCATGCATTTTTGCGTCTCCATGTGTGCGAGCTTACCTGCATACGCGCCAATAGCATCCATATTATAAGGTAAAAGAACTCTCTCGCTCCTATACACCACGACCTCGCTTTCAGGAACATCCACCAAGAGGTCCAAAACTTGCACCTCCGTGAACGCATACGGGCTCCCGTCAATCATAAGGTGGCCGGGCTTGAGGGGATCTCTGGGCGGCGGTGGGCTGGCCGCCTGCTGCTGAGGTGACATGCCCGAGATGTTCCAGATGTCTGCAATACTTTCGTAAGCCGTGCCCGCAGGATGAAAAGAATACGACATCGAGAGGGGCTGGCCTTGCATGGTCGGCAGCTCCCAAGGCCCTGCGTGGGGGGCGATCCTAGTATAGTCCTCCGAATGCATTGTGGATGCGTACTGGAGGGTATGGGGTGGGGAGTGATGAGTGCCAGAGACGGTTTGTGAAATTGTGCATGGTATTTGTGGAGCACGTTTGTTAAACATTCGTGCGCCAGCTGTCGGGGCACAACTTGTCGTCATTCAGGCGGCATGTGAGTGACTCACCGCCTTCGCAACACTGAGCGGGATATATTGCGTGATGACTTGGAACTTCCAAATGTCAATCATCGCTTTCACAACAGCCGGATCTTTCTTCGCCGGAGGCCACTCCGTGGTGGATATCTCCGCGGCAGTCATGTTCATGAGGGCATCGGATATCACTTGGTTGAACTTTCGCGTTGAGTTGTCGTACATAGGGTAGTGAGAATCTGCTGGCATGAAGGCGGCATACGGGAGGAGAATTGTCACGCCGGAGATGTCAGACGTGCCGGCCAGCCCGAACATGCGCTCCACGAGCATGCCGTTCGCGTGGCTTGATGTCAATTCCGATGCCAGTCGAGACACGGAAACTGCGCGGGTGGTCATTAGCTGAGCGAGCAAGACCGCGAGCAGCAAATTCGGGACGATAATTTTCGCCAATATTGAGCGTCCGGCCATCGTACTAGTAGTAATTAGTACTTAACCCTTCTGGTGGTACTATCGAGCAGCATGTGGGGAATCCCGTAGCATACTCAGCAAAACTGGCTGTACGAGTCAAGAGTTTCGAGCAAAGAAAGGTGTGGCGATTGCAGGGAATAGGATTTGCGGTGGAAATCTGATGATAGAGGAAAGAGAACGGCGAGCTTATGCTCAGCAGCAATATCATCTCCTCAGAGCCCGACAAGAGAGTGGATACTTGATTGAAGGGACCAGGGAGGATAGGGGTGGTTCTTGATCCACAGCCTAAGATTTACGCGATGTGATGCGAGAATGCTTGGGTTGGGAGGGAACGAATTTCCAAATCGCGGATCGCCCCAAGAAACAAGAAGGGCTCGTTTCCGCTCCCCGTTGGCGCCAGCCTCGCTGGCGTGTTGCCAGCAGTGATCATGATATTTTGCCCAGAGCACACGTGAGCCACTCCAATGACGTTGACTCGAACAGAACTCGGCGGTGAACGCACGTGCTAAGGGGGAGTTCGACACCCACATCAGCAGAGATGGTGCATGTATTTCGGCGGCCGCGTTCCCGATTGGCCGTGAGCCGTCCTGCTGGCATGCCGCGAGACTTGACAACCTGGACCACAGAGAATCCGCATCCTTACGAAGCGACCTGGCTTTACTGTTCAAGACGAGAAAGACTTGCAGTAAAAACCAGTAAGATTTGAAAATACAAATGGTACATTCTACAATCCATTCTAAGCAAGCCTAGATGCATCTCTAGCAAAGAAAGTTGATCTGAAAAGCTCCAAACACTTGCAAACCCATGCAGAATGCATAAAAGCTCGGAGAAGAGACGCGGGTGGGCGAACACACACTAGGGACATGGCAGCAGACACTGCAGTAGAAGCTGCTGTGAATGCAGGCTGCAGTAGCTGGAGAGTTGGCCCTTGCAACTGGGACCTGAGGAAACGGAATGGGAAGGCAAAGAAGTGTAACAAGAAGTTCTCGCCCCCCTCAAGGTAGTAGAAGCACAGCGAGCAAACACACCTGGAGTCAGGCGGTAACCAGCCGTTGACGTAACGTGCAAAGAGGAGTGAATCGTACTCGCCCCCATCCAGGTAGTAGAAGCGGGAGAGGTGGCGGCGGTACAGAAGCGCAGCGAGCGATAGAAACCGCATGCACACACATGGGGGACAGAAAAACACCTGGAGTCCGGTGGTGACCAGCCGTTGACGTAACGTGCAAAGAGGAGCGCGTCGTACTCGGCCCCCTCGAGGTAGTAGAAGCGGGAGAGGCGGCGGCGGTAGCAGAAGCACACCCCATAGAGAGAGACGCACCTGGAATCAGGCGGTAACCAGCCGTTGACGTAACGTGCAAAGAGGAGCGCGTCGTACTCGGCCCCCTCGAGGTAGTAGAAGCGGGAGAGGCGGCGGCGGTAGCAGAAGCACACCCCATAGAGAGAGACGCACCTGGAATCAGGCGGTAACCAGCCGTTGACGTAACGTGCAAAGAGGAGCGCGTCGTACTCGGCCCCCTCGAGGTAGTAGAAGCGGGAGAGGCGGCGGCGGTAGCAGAAGCACACCCCATAGAGAGAGACGCACCTGGAATCAGGCGGTGACCAGCCGTTGACGTAACGTGCAAAGAGGAGCGCGTCGTACTCGGCCCCCTCGAGGTAGTAGAAGCGGGAGAGGCGGCGGCGGTAGCAGAAGCACACCCCATAGAGAGAGACGCACCTGGAATCAGGCGGTGACCAGCCGTTGACGTAACGTGCAAAGAGCAGCGCATCGTACTCGGCCCCCTCGAGGTAGTAGAAGCGGGAGAGGCGGCGGCGGTAGCAGAAGCGCAGCGAGCGATAGAAGCGGATGGCGGGTGCGTTGTATGCGACCACGTGCAGGTAGACGGCCGCACAGTGGGGGAGGGAGGCGGCGTGGGAGAGCAGCAGATGCACCAGGTGGGACGCTGTGGGGGCAGGGGGGTGGGAAGAGGAGGGGCAGTGGTGGGAGGGGAGGGGAGGGGTGGCACATGCTTTTGAAGTAGCAGGGAGACAGGGAGGAGGCATGGGAGAGCAGGAGATAAGAGATGCAGCAAGTAGGATGGTGAGAGCGATAGAAGCGGATGGCGGGTGCGTTGTATGCGACCACGTGCAGGTAGACGGCCGCACAGTGGGGGACAGAGGAGGCGTGGGATAGCAACAGATGCACCAGGTGGGATGCTGTGGGGGCAGGGAGAAAAACGGCAGAAGGTCGGAGGGGAGTGGGGGGGTGACAATAGCTGTTGAGGTAGCAGGAGGGGAGAGAGGAAGCGTGGGGGAGCAGGAGATAGGAGGTGCAACAAGAGGGAGCACTGTAAGCCACCACGTGGTATGGGAGAGGTGAATTTATTTTTGAGTTGACTCAAAAGTAAGCCACCATGAGGTGTGGGAGAGGAATATGAAGATAGACGGCCATCAGAGTGGGGCGAGTGGGTCACCCCCATCAGAGTGGGGCGAGTGGGTCACCCCCATCAGAGTGGGGCGAGTGGGTCACCCCCATCAGAGTGGGGCGAGTGGGTCACCCCCATCAGAGTGGGGCGAGTGGGTCACCCCCATCAGAGTGGGGCGAGTGCGTCACCCCCATCAGAGTGGGGCGAGTGGGTCACCCCCATCAGAGTGGGGCGAGTGGGTCACCCCCATCAGAGTGGGGCGAGTGCATCACAGAGGAGCAGATGCCCACTTTAGGGACTAAGGAAACGGCTTACCCACGCCAGCCTTGCGGTAGGGCTTTGCAACGCCGAGCGTGAGGATGTAGAGGAGGGTGGGTGATGGGGTGTGGCGGGGGGAAGGAGGAACCAGAGGCAGCACGTCCGCACCCTGCGAGGGAGACGGTGGGAAGGGAGAAGCAATGCGAGGAAGAAGCGTGTGGGCGAGGTGACGGCAAGTAGAGCGAGAGAGAAAGGGTGATGTAAATGTTACTAGACGCAGCAGTACGTTTGTGAGTTGACTTAAAGAGCAGAGCAGACCAGCAAGCTGGTGGCCCTGACACATCAACACATTTTCAGGCCTTACATGCAGTGCACCCCATGCTGCACCCCCAACTCCCCCCCCAGAGCACCTGCGCCTCTGCAGGCGGCACAAGGCGCGCAGTGAGGAACCCCACGAGCCGGTCAGGCTTGCACAAATCCACCGCCCCTCACGAGATGATGCACACCCCCACATGCACCCATCCGTAACCCTTACACGCCATGCACCCTGCAACCCACCTGCGCCTCTGCAGGGGGCACTAGACGCGCAGCGATGAACCCCACCAGCCGGTCATTCTTGCAGGGGTCCACCGCATGTGCCCCATGAGATGATGCCGCTCTGGTGCACCCACCACACATGCACACACATATCTGTAACTCCCACACGCCATGCGCCCTGCACCCACCTGTGCCTCTGCTGGTGGGACCAAGCGCGCAGTGATGAACCCCACCAGTCGGTCCGGCTGACACGGGTCCACCGCACCCCACGAGATGATGCCCCGGTGATGCACCACGTTGGAGTAGAACTCCGACTCGTACCTGATGGGCAGGGAGGGTTGGGAGGGAGATGGGAGGGCAATGGAGAGCATATGGAAGGGGAGTTTAGGGTCCACCGCACCGCACGAGATGATGCCTCGATGGTGCACCACGTTGGAGTAGAACTCCGACTCGTACCTGATGGGCAGCGGAGGGCAGGTGGGGAGGAGAGGGGAAGGAGGAGTCAGGGACGGGCCTAGACGTCTCACTGCCCTTCATACTCGCCCCATGAGATGATGCCGCTGTGATGCACCACGTTGGAATAGAACTGCGACTTGTACCTGATGGAAGAGGGAAGGAGGGGAAAGCATGGGGAAAGGCCAGCATGGGAAGAGGCGAGTTTGAGTCAGCTTTAGGTTCACGAGATGACAATGCCGCGATGATGCACCTCGTTGGAATAGAACTCCGACTCGTACCTGATGGGCAGTGGGGGAGAGGGGGAAGGGAGGGGAAGGCGACGAAAAGGGGGAGCGGAGGAGGGAAGGAGAGCTTAGGGGGAGGTGATGCCTGTCACGCGATATTTGCCTCTGCTTATTTTGCGACAGAAATAGTCTTATGCGATGAGATGACATCCGCCATGTCTCCTGGGTGGTGGACACAACACATAAACGTGCGAGCAACTGACGCTACGAATAAGTGACAGAATGAGTTGGCGAGTGAGTGTGAGTTCAAGGTGTGCAGGGTGTGGTCTTGAGAGCACACAGGGGGACGAGGAGGACGAGGTGTCTTACGCGATGGGGAAGGTGGCTTCATGGAATGCCTTGGGATCCCCCATGTCCCCTGGGGAGACACTTGAGCGTGCGAGAGTCTTACGCTGTGTGGAGGTGATGGATGGAGGGAGTTGGCGAGTGAGTGTGAGTTCAGGGTGTGCAGAGAGTGGGTGCGGAGGTCTTACGCGATGGGGAAGGTGGCTTCATGAAGGGCCTTGAGATCGGCCATGTCCCCTGGGGTGATGGCGCGATAGGTGATACTGGGGAGTGAGGGGGACGAGGAGGACGAGGAGGAGGGCGGGTGGGATAATCCCTGCTGCTGCTGGTGCTGGGGCTGACAGCATGTGCAGTGAGTGCAGTGCTGGCAACAGTGATGAAAATGATGGTCATGTGGATGGTAGGCATGTCTATGGCTGTCAGTGGCTAAGCTGGTGTGACTGTGACGAGAGGAAGGCTGCTGCGAGCCCGGTGCAGAGGAAGCAGCAGGAGAGGAGGCGGGCGGGAGAGGTGACGAGATGGGAGGGCGAACAGAGGAGGAGGAGGAGGTTCGAGAAGGGAAGACGTGAGTGGGAGTAGGATAAGGGGCAGGGGACGGCTTGTGGGTGGGACGAGGGGACCCGGGCCTTTGAGGCGGCTCAAAAATGGGGCGAGGGGAACCAGGACAAGGGCGAAGGGATTCGGGGCAAGGGCAAAGAGACTGAGGGCAAGGAAGTGACTGGCATGGGCCCACACTGTGTGGGTTGCCCTGACAGGACCTTTGAGGCGCCTCAACACAGGGATGGGCGAGACAGTTATGGGATTGACAGGTTTGGGATTGGTAGGCACGGGATTGACAGGAATGGGGGTGACATGTGTGGGGTTGCAAGGTGTGGGGTTGAAGGGTATGGGATTGATAGGTATGGGACTGAAGGGTGTGGGACTGACAGGGATGTGGACATGGACGGTGCGTGTTGCTGCACTGACAGGCGTTGTGTGCCGCATGGTGGGGAGGTGCAGCCGGAGGGGCAGGATGAGAGCGAGCGGAATGAGAAGGGGTGTGAGTTGGGCATGTGGCCGCGAGGCAGCAGGGCACAGGCGGGGTTAGAGGCGCTGGCGCTGGTGCAGTGGTGGCGGGGGAGGGAGCGGGAACCAAGAGGGGAGGAGGCAAGGGAGGGCCGGGATGGTATGGGTGGGTGGGAGTGGGCGTGGGGGAGAAACCGCGGAGGTGGGGAAGACAGGAGGTGGACGCACACGAGAGGAGCTCTGCAGGAGAGGAGTGGTGAGGGGGCGATGCACCATGCATGCAACCACCATTCACCCTTCCACCATCCACCCCTCCACCATGCATCCCTGCTCCATTCACCCCTCTACCGTTCACCCATGCGCCATTCATCCCTCCCCCATCCACCCCTGCACTGATCATCCCCCCACCATGCACCCCTAGGGGATCCGCCTCCAGAGTTCGCATCAGCGCCCCTGCTCCATCCCCCCTCGCTCGTCCCCCTTCCATCCCCCCACCATGCTCCCCTAGAGGATCCGCCTCCAGGGATCGCATCAGCGCTGCATCCCATCCCTCGGGGTGCCTGTGCAGGGACGGCGACAGCTCCGCCACGTGGCGCACTGCCATTGGAGCGCCGCCGTCAGCACACTCCACAGTGTCAAAACTCGCCCCCATTGAAGCACGCTCCTGCAGCTCTTGGGGCGCCTCAAATTCCGTCTCTCTGTAGGGATGTGGTGGAAGAGACTGGGAGGGGAGGGCAGAGCACCCCCCCTGGTGGCGCCACGCACGCTCCTGCTGCTCTTGAGACGCCTCAAAGGCCGTCTCCCCATAAAAATGTGGCGGCGGTTGAGAAGGCAGAGCAGAGTACTGCCCCTGCGGCTGCGGCTGATGGAAAAGCGCAGGTTCCTGTGCTCCCTCACCCTCTACCCTACTCCGCTGTGAGCCTTCTTGACGCGGTTCAGGCGAGTGATCGTGAGATTGTGGTAACCCGGTTACATTAACCCTAATCTCCGGCGCATTACATGCTGCTTGGCAAGTTGCTCTCCCCTCGCTCGGTCCCGCTATAGAATGACTAGCTGCACTGCATGGTGTCTCTATACTGATTCTATCGCAATTCTCTGTGCTCCCTGAATCTCCTAAAGAGTCTGATAACCTAAGCGCTCTGGTCCTATCAGAAATCCATTCGATCCCGCACAAGTACTCCCCATCCCTAACTCCCTCTCGTGCCCGACCACCCATGCGATCTTTATCTCCCTCTTCACCACCCACTCCAACCCCATTGCACCACGCGTCACCCCTGTAAGAATCTCCCCCCGAGTCATGCCTCCCCCCTCTCCCCGCGCCATGCCCCCCAACTCTCCCCGCGCCATCCCCCTCCTCGCAGCTGCGGCTGGTGAATTCGTTGGCGGTCCGCCACGCGCTGACGTCATTCCGCCGCATGCTGACGTGGCGGCTGCCATCCACCTGCCGGCTGGGAAGGGGTTGTCGTAAAGTCAAGCGGGATCGATATGAAAAAAAATTACTCAAATTCTGCAAGGGGTAGATATATAGATCTGCAACATGAAGACTCCTTCGCCTGGCTTCGTCGTGATGTTACACCGCACGTCGAATTTCGCAATCTGAACCAAAAGCTCCCGCTCAGAAATCTAGGCCGATATACCTGCGTAGCGTCGCCAGCTCTACTCCTTCGCTTCCTTCGCTTCCTTCGCCTGGATGTTGTACCGCTTGTTGAACTTGGCGATCTGGCCCTCCGTCTCCGCCTTCTTGCCCGGATCGCGGATGTAGAACGGACGATCGGATTTGAACACCTGCGCGGAGAGCACGCGCACGAGGCGGCCCTGCGGCGTGACGAGGCTGAGCCACTGCAGCGCGGGGTGGATTCCCTTCTTCATCGCACTCGATACCGCCCGTCGCTCCCCGGCGACAGCAAGAATTTTTAACTTTCGGGTTTTCGCGAGAGGGATTTCAGCGAATAAAGCGGGAGGGAGTGAGGCGGAGAACTGGTGCTGGGGGAGGGATAAACCCCGTTCGAAGGTCCGAGGAGGTCCCAGGGCAGGAGTCAGGCCAGGGTAAAGGTAAAGGAGGGGGGAATGGCCCCCTTTGGGTTACCCCTGGCTGTCGATCGTAATCCGCCTACCCACTTGTTTACACGCCTCGCTGGGTATCGAGGTAAGGCAATCCACTCCCAAATGAGCAGTGCGAAACCCCCTTCTGGGGGGCTGGCGGAACTCGCCGGCACTGGGGTTTGAACCCGGAACCTCATCCTTCGGAAGTACCTTTCTCGGCCTTTTGGCTAAGATCAAGTGAGGAGTCAGGCCAGGGGCTTTGTTCGGAATGGATTCTGTTTTTTGTTTCGACGTGCCCCGAGGGGAGTTGCTCCTGCGGAGTTCCAAGTTTCATATAAAGTGCAAATTGTTTCTCTACCTAAAGCATCAAAATTCACACCGGGTTTGATCTCAAGTTCCGATTGCATTTTCCTTGTTACGAAACTTGAATCTCAGGTTGCGTTTTATGGGAAGGTTGCGAGCATCATCGGTCATCAGAGCTCGCGAATGAAGAGCGCCCGCTGCACTTCCTGCACATGTGCGGAGCCTTGCGCGTTTTGAGGCTACAAGCGCTCGTTCCGAGCGTTTTTCTTCCACCGGATTACGTGGCTGCGCTTGTCTGGGCCTATTGCCAGGCCAGCAAGTGCGTGGGAGGGTTGCAAGCATCATTGGTCATCGGCGCTCGCGAATGAAGAGCGCCCGCTGCACTTCCTCCACATGTGCGGATCCCTTCCGCGTTTTGAGGCTACAAGCGCTCGTTCCGAACGTTTTTCTTCCACCGGGTCACGTGGCTGCGCTTGTCTGGGCCTATTACCAAGCTAGCAAGGGCGTGGGAGGGTTGCGAGCATCATTGGTCATCGGCGCTCGCGAATGAAGAGCGCCCGCTGCACTTCCTCCACATGTGCGGATCCCTTCCGCATTTTGAGGCTACAAGCGCTCGTTCCGAGCGTTTTTCTTCCACCGGGTCACGTGGCTGCGCTTGTCTGGGCCTATTGCCAAGCCAGCAAGGGTGTGGGAGGGTTGCGAGCATCATTGGTAATCGGCGCTCGCGAATGAAGAGCGCCCGCTGCACTTTCTCCACATGTGCGGATCCCTTCCGCGTTTTGAGGCTACAAGCGCTCGTTCCGAGCGTTTTTCTTCCACCGGATCACGTGGCTGCGCTTGTCTCGGCGTATTACCAAGCCAGCAAGGGTGTGGGAGGGTTGCGAGCATCATTGGTCATCGGCGCTCGCAAATGAAGAGCGCCCGCTGCACTTCCTCCACATGTGCGGATCCTTCCGCGTTTTAAGGCTGGAAGCGCTCGTTCCGAGCGTTTTTCTTCCACCGGGTCATGTGGCTGTGCTTGTCTGGGCCTATTGCCAAGCCAGCAAGGGCGTGGGAGGGTTGCGAGCATCATTGGTCATCGGCGCTCAAGAATGAAAAGCGCCCGCTGCACTTCCTCCACATGTGCGGATCCTTGCGCGTTTTGAGGCTGGAAGCGCTCGTTCCGAGCGTTTTTCTTCCACTGGGTCACGTGGCTGCGCTTGTCTGGGCCTATAGCAAGGGCGTGGGAGGGTTGCGAGCATCATTGGTCATCGGCGCTCGCGAATGAACAGCGCCCGCTGCACTTCCTGCACATGTGCTAATCCTTGCGAGTTTTGATGCTGGAAGCGCTCGTTCCGAGCGTTTTTCTTGCACCGGGTCACGTGGCTGCGCTTGTCTGAGCCTATTGCCAAGCCAGCAAGGGCGTGGGAGGGTTGCGAGCATCATTTGTCACCGGCGCTCGCGAATGAACAGCGCCCGCTGCACTTCCTGCACATGTGCGGATCCTTCCGCGTTTTGAGGCTGGAAGCGCTCGTTCCGAGCGTTTTTCTTCCACCGGGTCACGTGACTGCGCTTGTCTGGGCTTATTGCCAAGCCAACAAGGGCGTGGGAGGGTTGCGAGCATCATTGGTCATCGGCGCTCGCGAATGAAAAGCGCCAGCTGCACTTCCTCCACATGTGCGGTTTCCTTCCGCGTTTTGAGGCTACAAGCGCTTGTTCAGAGCGTTTTTCTTCCACCGGGTCACGTGGTTGCGCTTGTCTGGGCCTATTGCCAAGCCAGCAAGGGTGTGGGAGGGTTGCGAGCATCATTGGTAATCGGCGCTCGCGAATGAAGAGCGCCCGCTGCACTTCCTCCACATGTGCGGATCCCTTCCGCGTTTTGAGGCTACAAGCGCTCGTTCCGAGCGTTTTTCTTCCACCGGGTCACGTGGCTGCGCTTGTCTGGGCCTATTACCAAGCCAGCAAGGGCGTGGAGGGTTGCGAGCATCATTGGTCATCGGCGCTCGCAAATGAAGAGCGCTCGCTGCACTTCCTCCACATGTGCGGATCCTTCCGCGTTTTGAGGCTGGAAGCGCTCGTTCCGAGCGTTTTTCTTCCACCGGGTCACGTTGCTTTGCTTGTCTGGGCCTATTGCCAAGCCAGCAAGGGCGTGGGAGGGTTGCGAGCATCATTGGTCATCGGCGCTCGCGAATGAAGAGCGCCCGCTGCACTTCCTCCACATGTGCGGATCCTTGCGCGTTTTGAGGCTGGAAGCGCTCGTTCCGAGCGTTTTTCTTCCACCGGGTCACGTGGCTGCGCTTGTCTGGGCCTATTGCCAAGCCAGCAAGGGCGTGGCAGGGTTGCGAGCATCATTGGTCATCGGCGCTCGCGAATGAAGAGCGCCCGCTGCACTTCATGCACATGTGCGGATCCTTGCGCGATTTGAGGCTATTAGCGCTCGTTCCGAGCAAGCATCATTGGTCATCGGCGCTCGCGAATGAAGAGCGCCCGCTACACTTCCTGCACATGTGAGGATCCTTGCGTGTTCTGAAGATGAAAGCGCTCGTTCCGAGAGTTTTTCTTCCACCAGGTCACGTAGCTGCGATTGTTTGGGCCTATTGCCAAGCCAGCAAGGGCGTGGGAGGGTTGCGAGCATCATTGGTCATCGGCGCTCGCGAATGAAGAGCGCCCGCTGCACTTTCTGCACATGTGCGGATCCCATCCGCGTTTTGAGGCTGGAAGCGCTCATTTCGAGTGTTTTTATTCCACCGGGTCACGTGGCTGCGCTTGTCTGGGCCTATTGCCAAGCCAGCAAGGGCGTTGGAGGGTTGCGATCATCATTGGTCATCGGCGCTCGCGAATGAAGAGCGCCCGCTGCACTTCCTGCACATGTGCGGATCCTTGCGCGTTTTTAGGCTAGAAGCGCTCGTTCCAAGCGTTTTTCTTCCACCGGATCACGTGGCTGCGATTGTTTGGGCCTATTGCCAAGCCAGCAAGGGCGTGGGAGGGTTGCGAGCATCATTGGTCATCGGCGCTCGCGAATGAAGAGCGCCCGCTGCACTTCCTCCACATGTGCGGATCCCTCCGCGTTTTGAGGCTGGAAGCGCTCGTTCCGAGCGTTTTTCTTCCACCGGGTCACGTGGCTGCGCTTGTCTGGGCCTATTGCCAAGCCAGCAAGGGCGTGGGAGGGCTGCGAGCATCATTGGTCATCGGCGCTCGCGAATGAAAAGCGCCCGCTGCACTTCCTCCACATGTGCGGATCCCATCCGCGTTTTGAGGCTACAAGCGCTCGTTCCGAGCATTTTTCTTCCACCGGGTCACGTGGTTGCGCTTGTCTGGGCCTATTGCCAATCCAGCAAGGGCGTGGGAGGGTTGCGAGCATCATTGGGCATCGGCGCTCGTGAATGAAGAGCGCCCGCTGCACTTCCTGCACATGTAAGGATCCCTTCCGCGTTTTGAGGCTGGAAGCGCTCGTTCCGAGCGTTTTTCTTCCACCGGGTCACGTGGCTGCGCTTGTCTGGGCCTATTGCCAAGCTAGCAAGGGCGTGGGAGGGTTGCGAGCATCATTGGTCATCGGCGCTCGTGAATGAAGAGCGCCCACTGCACTTCCTGCACATGTGCGGATCTCATCCGCGTTTTGAGGCTACAAGCGATCGTTCCGAGCGTTTTTCTTCCACCGGGTCACGTGGCTGCGCTTGTCTGGGCCTATTGCCAAGCCAGCAAGGGCGTGGGAGGGTTGCGAGCATCATTGGTCATCGGCGCTCGCGAACGAAGAGCGCCCGCTGCACTTCCTCCATATGTGCGGATCCCTTCCGCGTTTTGAGGCTACAAGCGCTCGTTCCGAGCGTTTTTCTTCCACCGGGTCACGTGGTTGCGCTTGTCTGGGCCTATTGCCAAGCCAGCAAGGGCGTGGAGGGTTGTGAGCATCATTGGTAATCGGCGCTCGCGAACGAAGAGCGCCCGCTGCACTTCCACATGTGCGGATCCCTTCCGCGTTTTGAGGCTACAAGCGCTCGTTCCGAACGTTTTTCTTCCACCGGGTCACGTGGTTGCGCTTTTCTGGGCCTATTGCCAATCCAGCAAGGGCGTGGGAGGGTTGCGAGCATCATTGGT